TTCTTAATGGCTGCATAGTATTCCATGGTGTACATATACCACAGTTTGTTGATCCATTCGTGGATCAATGGGCACTTGGGCTTCTTCCATGACCTGGCAATTATGAATTGGGCTGCAATAAACATTCTGATACAAATCTTTTGATATTTTAATTGGACTTAAGGAAGCCTTTGTGATAATATAGCACTGAACTGAGCAGATAAAAACTTGTTATTTGTATATCTGGAAATCTTCGAAGGAAATAATAGACAACAACCTGTCTTATATACCTTAGACCATTTTCTGGCTGAATATAGTGAGCTTGAGCAGATGAATTAATATTGGTATTAATAATAATATCTTTTTTTTTTAGAGATGGAGTCTCACTTTATCACCCTCAGTAGAGTGCTGTGGCATGATCTCACAGCTCACAGCAACTCCAACTCCTGGGCTTAGGTGATTCTCTTGCCTCAGCCTCCTGAGTAGCTGGGACTACAGGAGCCCGCCAGAATGCCTGGCTATTTTTTTGTTGCAGTTTGGCCGCGGCCAGGTTCAAACCTGCCACCCTTGGTATACGGGGCTGGCCCACTACTCACTGAGCTACAGATACCACCCATAATAATATCTATTTTTGAGAAATTATTCATTAACTGCTTTGTCAGTAAATTTCTTACTCATACTGTCTCACAATCCTGTGTCTGTAGATACCATGGCCTTAGGCATGTTCATGTTATATTGTTAATCATATGTTATATTGTTAATCATAATTTCTTTTGACCCAAAGCGACGTCTTATATCTTTTTCCCCCCTCCAATCAGTTATTCTTAGAGAACAGAAATTCTATGGTAACTTTGGCTTCTGTATTAGCCATATTTTCAAACGGTGAACTTTTATTACTTTGGTTCTTAAGATCATTAATACTGTTAAATGTTTTGATTGATTGATTAAATTTTCTGAGTGATTTCCTAAATACTTCCTCTTTGACATGCATGATTTTCCTTTTCTCTATCATTACTGATTTTCTATCTTTTCCATTAGTGATCTTGCTCCTTTAAAATTCTGAAAATAGCTTTCAGGGTAAACACATATATTTAGGAATATGGGATTTGAAAAAAATCATCTTCTAAGGGGAAAAAAAAATCACTCTTCTCACAGCCTGTCCTTCTACAGATGAAATGAAAAAAACAATTAAAAAGGAAGCAGCATCAACATTTTACTTTCTTTTTTTAATAGTATAAGCTATTGGTAAAAGTAAAAAGAATGACATTATTTGTCATTATTACAAAAATTACCTTTTGTTCCCCTTTGTAAATATCATTAAATTGATACAGAAATTATGTTGCATCTTCTATTGGCAGCATTTTTGTTTAGCCTAGATCACACTGTCTTTAAAATAGACATGGCATTTCACTTTTTAATAAAGATACTGAATACAGTAAAGCAGACCATAATGTTAAAATTGTCATTGCTACTCCCTAAAGAAACTTCTTATCTTCTAGAATTAGTTGCAAAAGTATAGAGTTATCATTGCCTCCTTCTATCTTATAGAAAAAATACTTTTTATTAAAAAAAGATAAAAATTTTTAAACACCTATAAATGTTTTAATGACTCTGTCTTTTCTATAGTTTTTGAAATGACAGAATAGGTTCAGTTATGTATCAGTAGAGTCTTTTTAGCCCCAAATAACAAAACAACTTCTAAAACTATTTTGAGTAAACATCGAATAAAGTGTTTTGTTTAAAAAAACTCCTTAGAATAGCAGCCCAGGTTGCAAAGCTATCAGGAAATGGGCTTGCTTTCTTGACTGCTTTTTATATGACCGCTCCATTCTTCCTTCTGTATGGTGACTAGCCTTTCTCAACAGAAACAAAGCGTTCCTGTCCTAGTTTTTGTTTTAAATCATTTCTTAATTCAAGAACTAGAAAAGACTAGAAATTATTTCTTAGACCTCACTCCATATTCTCAGGAGGGAGAAATAATTGGGCAAGTATCTATCCATGCTCTAATAGCCATGACCAAGAAAACAGGGTCATTAAGTTCAAGTGTGGGGGCCAATCCTAAAAGAAGAGGAGATGTGGCCTAACTAAGCTTGTGTCTTAAAATTGAAAGTTTTTCTTAAATGCCTTGGGGGACCATACTTATGAACACCCGATCACAGTGCCTTTATAAGTATTTATTTGAGGGCCAACTATAAAGAGAAATTAATAAAACATGCAAGTTCAGTTGTTGCCAAGGATTATATAAATGTTAAGAGATATTTTATATTATATATAATTTATAAAGTATATAGTATTTTTGTTTTAATATTAATGTTTAAAAATTGTTTATATATATATTTTAGGGTGATCTACAAATTATTGGCTTCTAAAAGTGAAAGTATTTGGGTTCAAGCTCTGAAGGTCCTGGGATACTTTCTGAAGCATTTAGGTCACAAGTAAGTCGATATTTTTCATAATGAATTATATTCATATCAATTAGAATTGAAATTCGGAATAATCTAACAATGGAGCTAATAGCTTTCTGTGATAAGAGTTATAAAAATGTATTATAAAATAATTTTTTATTTATAGTACTGTGATTGTGGAAGAAGATCATGTTTAAGTGAAATAGTTTATATTTTTCTGAAAAGAAAATATTGCCCATTTTAAGGTTGTAGTAAAATAGTTTATCCAAGTAAAAGTGTATATGATATTGTTTCAATGAAAACATTCTTGACACAGGGAATACTTATGTATATTGTGGTCTTTCTGAGAACTGATACTAAACTTTATTATTTGTTCCTATTTTTTCCTAATAGTGGGGCTTTTTATAGAATTAATTGTCCTATAATGCTTTCAATTCTTTCTCTAAATGCAGACTTTAGGTAATTGTTCAAAACACTTTTTCTATAAGTAACGGCTGTTGACTTAATGATTTCAGTTCATACTATGCTGTCCAGGGCATGAATATTTTTTTAAAAATTCATTTTCTATACAAGTGTTCCCAAGGAAGTAGTACTATAATTTAGGAACTACTAGATGAAGTTCTTTTCATAACTTCACTGTTGCCAGTTCTTCTTGGTGTTTAAATTAGCAAAGAGTTTAGGGGTCATAGTGATGAAAACTGTACAAAATCCCAATGAAACGTATCTTATTTTATTTTTTGGGCACATTGTTGCCCTCAGGAGTGTGCCGTGGTGTCTTAGCTTACAGCAACCTCAAACTCTTGGGCGTAAGCAGTCCTCTCTCCTCAGCCTCCCAAGTAGCTGGGAATATAGGTGCCCGCCACAATGACAGGCTATTTTTAGAGACAGGGTCTTCCTTTGGCTCAGGCTGGTCTCAAATTGGTGAGCTCAGGCAATCAACGGGCCTCAGACTCCCAAGTACTGGGATTATGGGTGTGAACCACTATGCTCAGCCTCCAGTGAGACATGTCTAACATACTGTATAGTCTGGTAGTTTAAGTAATTTTATTTTCATTTTGTAACAAATCAATAGTTGAGGAAATGAGAACAGAGACATTGTAGATATAGGGAATAGTTGAAGAAAAGCCAGCAGTCCTTTCTATAATTAGAAAAGGATTGCATATGGATAAGCAATTTTACGTGTACTAGATCATAGACTAGTATGAGAGAGAACCATATACACTTTTATTATTAAGCGATAAGAATTGGTCATTTAACTTTGGTTAAGTAAAAGAAATTCATTCAGAAAAAGCTGAAGAGATTGCAGTCTCTTAAAACTATCAAGAAAGCACATTTAAAAATACAGAAAATAATTGCATTTCTCTGAGCATTTTCTCATGTGTTTGTTGGCCATTTGTCTCTTTCAGAGAAGTTTCTGTTCATGTCTCTTGCCCACTTATAAGTGGGATTGTTCGCTCTTGTTGATGAGTTGAGTTCTCTGTAGATTCTTGTTATCAGCCCTTTGTCAGATCTGTAGCATGCAAATATCTTCTCCCATTCTCAAGGCTGTCTGAGTTTGCTTTAGTTGTGGTACCCTTAGCTGTGCGGAAGCTATTTAGCTTGATCAATGTCTCATTTATTTATTGTTGGTGTTGCTGCCATTGCCCAGGGGGTCTTCTTCATAAAAATTTTTCCCAGGTTGATTTTGTCAAGTGTTTTTTCCACATTTTCGTCTCGAATTTGCATTACTTTGTGTTTTAAATTTAGGTCTTAGGTCTTTTATCCTGATAAAGTCAATTTTTGTAAGGGTCAGAAGTGTGAATCAAAACCACATGGAGTTATCACCTAACCCCAGTGAGAATAGCCTATATCACAGAATCCCAAAGCTGCAGATTCTGATATAGATTAAGGAGAGAAGGGAACACTTCTACACTGCTGCTGAAATTGCAGACTAATGCAGCCTCTATGGAAAGAAGTATGGAAAACCCTCAGAGAGCTAAAAGTAGACTTTCCCATTTGATCCCACAATTCCATTAGTTGGTATCTCCCCAAAAGAAAAAATATCACTCCACCATAAGGACATTTACGTTAGAATATTCATCGCAGCTGAATTTATAATCCCTAAGATGTGGAATCAACCCAAGAACTCATTAACACATAAATGGATTAATAAACTATGGTGTATGCATGCCATTAAATCCTATTCAGCTATAAAAAAAGATGGAGACTTTATATCTTTTGTATTTTCCTGGATGGAAGTGAAGCACATTCTCCTGAATGAAATATCACAGGAATTGAAAAGTAAGTATTCTATGTGTTCAGTACTAATGTGAAATGAATAGATAAACAACAGTCTACACCCCAACAGGAGAGAAGAACACAATTGAATTCAAATGGGGATCATTGTGAAGGAGGAGGGGAGATTGGTGCGCTCTCACTGTACACGCCACCTGGTTGAAGGGCTCAACTACAATTTGAACTTAACATAAGAAACACCAACAATATTACCTAAATCATTTGTACTCTCATATTAATCTGAAGTAAAAAAAGAAAAGAGTATAGAAAAAGATGAAACCTCACAAATAATGCAAACTAAAAAATAGCAAGCAAGCAATTTCCCTGGATAAACATAGTTAAGATATGGCCTTCCGCCTTTTTTTTCTTTAAAATTCATAAGTAATACAACAAGGAGCAAAAACTGAAATCTCTTACTACCACAACTGTTAGCAAAAGTAGTAGATAGAAACAACTCAGGAACTCCAAGTTATGAGTATCAGCTGCTGAAAGCTGCTAAGATTGGGTAAAAGCTATGAAGGATAAAGACAAGAGAAAATACAGAAAATGCTGAGAGAGTTCAGTGATAACAAATCTCACCAAGTGTCACTGAAAGTACCCTTTCTAAAGATGAAAGGCTCACTTCAAGGTAAAAAGTAGATCCTTTGTTTGAAATGATAGATACATATACATCATGTCTGATAGCAGAATCCTTTTTGAGTCAGATTGGTTTCAAAAAAGCAGAAAATGAATAACAAAGAATTACACAGTTGCGCTAGCTATATTTGTAAGAAGCCATCTGTCTCTGTGGCTATAGAGAAGAGTCAGTTTTTGGATTGTGAAAGCAAAACCCTTGCCCCTTCTTTTACAACACATATGCAGGGAAATCTCTTGCACATGGCTGATCCAGGATAATTTCACTAAATCAAAAGAATTGGCACAGTGTGAGTGCATATATATCAGATTTTAAAAACCTGGAAGAAATAAGCAAACTAATCAATAGATGAATAGCACTTACTAGAAAAATATTACTATGAAGCACATAGTAATTGTGATTTAAAAATCTACCAGAGTTAAAAAAAAAACCAAAAAACAGGAACTAAATGAATTGCTTCTGAGAAAGTGCAATCCTTACACAAAGTATTGAAAAATTACAACCTAGCTACTCAGAGAGTTGAAGCAGTAAGATGGTTTGAGCCCAGGAATTTGAGACCAGCCTAGGAAACATAGTAAGATCTCATAAAAAAAGATGTAAGAAATATTAGAACTCTTTATTTATAAAAATAAAAACAAAGAAAATAACATGCAGGGCTGAGCACAGGGGCTGGTGGGTTTGAACCTGAAAAAAAAAGCCAGGCATTTCCTAACAAATGCAATCAGTGTAACCTGGTTTCTTGTACTCTCAATGAATCCCCAACAATAAAAAAGCTAAAAAAGAAAATAGCCAGGCATTGTGGCAGGAGCCTGTAGTCCCAGCTACTAGGGAAGCTGAGGCAAGAGAATCACTGGAGCCCAAGAGTTTGAGGTAGCTATGAGTTGGGACGTCACGGAACTCTACCCCCAGCAATATAATGAGACTCTGTCTCAACAAAAATAAATAACTAAATTAAATAACATGTAATTAAGAATAAATTGTGGTATGTGTACACCATGGAATATTATGCAGCCTTAAGGAAAGATGGAGACTTTATCTCTTTCATGTTTACATGAATGGAGCTGGAACATATTCTTCCTAGCAAAGTATCTCAAGAATGGAAGGAAAAGTGTCCAATGTACTCAGCCTTACTATGAAACTAATTTATAGCTTTCATATGAAAGGTATAACCCAATTATAGCCCCAGAATATGGGGAAAGGGGAAAGGGAGGGGAGGTGGGGAGGATGGGTGGAGGGAGGGTAATTGGTGGGACCACACCTACAGTGCATCTTACAAGGGTACATGTGAAACTTACTAAATGTAGAATATAAATGTCTTAACACAATAACTAATAAAATACCATGAAGGCTATGTTAACCAGTTTGATAAAAGTATTTCAAATTGTATGTAAAACAAGCACATTGTACCCCACGACTACATTAACATACACAGCTATGATTTAATTTAAAAAATAAAAAAGAATGTAATAGTTGAGAAGGATTAAAAAGAAAATGAGTGATGGAGAAGGCAAATAAATTCCAATAATGGCATAAATGGAGTTTTCAATAACAAACACAAAATAATAGACCAAAACAGTACTTAAGCTATAATTTAGTGAAGTGCTAATATATAATTTTGCCACCTTTAATTAAAGAATATAGTTTATACCAATGAAAATTGACCTGGAAGGGTCAACATAAAGGTGTAGTATTGTATTTAAACATAGAAATCCTTTGTATAGCCATGTGCAAATAATGAAAAAAAATTAATCTGGCCTTAGACTTCTCTAAAATGACCTTCAATCGAGAAAACTATAGAGCAACAACCATAAGATATCAAATGAAAAAAGTAGAAGGCAGGGTGGCACCTGTGGCTCAAAGGAGTCGGGTGCTGGCCCCATGTACCAGAGGTGGTGGGTTCAGATCCAGTGCTGGCCCCGTATATCAGAGGTGGTGGGTTCAGATCCAGTGCTGGCCCCGTATATCAGAGGTGGTGGGTTCAGATCCAGTGCTGGCCAAAAACTGCAAAAAAAACAAAACAAAACAAAACTGATAAAAATAGGTAAATTGTTATTTAACATGTCATGAATGGGCAAAAATGTTGTAAATATACAAAATAATAATTTTATTAACTAATATAGAAACTGAGGAAACTAAAAGAATCTTAAGTGACAACTTTGTATAACTTTCCCCAGAAAGGCTATAGTGGAGCATTTGAATTTCATTTTTCTAAAGAGTATTGGATGTTCAAGTAGAGAACCAAAGATAATCTGCTGTTTTAGCTCATGATTTCTTTTCACAGTTTACTCAAACTAGTGCATTGGAAGATAGCAAAGTATAGAATAAAAATATAAAGGGCGGGCAAAGATTAAGCCTTAGTAAATAGGAAACCTAACACATGACATAAGAATTCCTAGTGAAGGAAAATGATGGGTTTCTTGAAATATTTTAAACTACCAGAGACTTGGAGGTGTTGGATAAACTTTGTCAAAAGTCCTTTTAAATAAATAGGTGAGCACACAAAAATAAAAGAAATTCTCATATGCTAAAATAAAAATAAAACACAAATAAAAGGACTTAAACTAGTTTTGAAACTAATATGCAATTAAAAATATGCAGTTAATATGTAGAAGTGAAAAGGTAGCAGTTAAAATTAACATCTCCATGGGTACATTACACAGATTAGAGAAAACTTCAGAAAGAATCAGTGAACTGGAAGACAGAAATGAAGAAATTACCTAGGGTGCAACACCTAGAAACACAATAACAAACATGAAAAGAAGGTAACAGATATGGAGAAGGAATGAAAAACTCAAACATACAACTGGGCACTACTGTAGAAAAAATTCAGAAAAGTGATACTTATAATTTGAATAGGAATATAATGAAATTATTTTCCTTTCTGTTTTCACTCTTCTGTGCTGTACTGTAAGTGTTACAGAAAAGGTGTAGAGAGAACGAGGAAGAAGCAAAATTCAAAGAAAATTGCTAAAGATTTTTACATAATTCATGAAAAACCCAATTTCTCAGAATTTGGAAGTAAAATGAGCTCTAAGCAGGAAGATTAGCATAAAAATCTCACTGTAAAACACAACTACAAGAACACCAAAGACAAAGAGAGTAACAAGGGAAGCCAGCCTGCAATATTAAAGGAAATATAGTATTTTAATAGTTAAAATAATATGGTATTTATTTGTGAAGAGACAGAACAAAATGATCAAATTCAAAGTCAACAGATTGAAAATAGTTTCTGCATTTTACATATCAGATTGACTATTTTTATGATTATTGTGATGCATAGGGTTGGTAAAGCTGTTGGTAAAAGATATTTGTCCCTTAATGGTAAAAATATGAACATACATATTTTTTTTGGTTAGTTTAGCAAAGCCTCACAACTTTTAACCTGAGTATTTCAGTTGTAAGAATTTATTCTAAGGAAGTAAACATGGTTATGCCCAAAAGTTTATCTAAAGCAGTGGTTCTCAACCTTCCTAATGTCGTGACCCTTTAATACATACAGTTCCTCATATTGTGGTGACCCCCAACCATAAAATTATTTTTGTTGCTACTTCATAACTGTAATTTTGCTACTGTTATGAATCATAATGTAAATATCTGATATGCAGGATGGTCTTAGGCGACCCCTGTGAAAAGGTTGTTTGACCCCACAAAGGGGTCATGACCCACAGGTTGAGAACTGCTGATCTAAAGGAAGGTTTGTTTATGGTAGGAAAGAAGCTTATAAATAACGTAAGTTGTTAAATGTAATGAATGGATAAATTAACTATGCTACATTTTTATTATCAATTACTCTTAATGACATTGAGAAACACACACTAGACTTTTGATTCAAAGGAAAAAAGCAAAAATTACTATGTATAGAACAATTTCCATTTTATTGATTTTTGTATCTGTCACATGTAGATTTATTTACATAGCAATTAATCTGAAAGAATATAAACCATGTTTATAATGATTATGTCTGGAATTAGGGACTTTTTTTATCTTTTCCCCCTATTTTCCTCTTTCACATATTCTCTGAATTTGTCGTTATAAGAACCATGGTTATTGACCATTCAAAAAGATAAGGTTATTTTGTGTAGAAAGAAATTGCAGTAAATTTCAGTGGATTATTTAGTCAACTTATAAATCTGAAATTTGCATTAGTAATTATGCTTTTAAAAAAATGAATTACTCCCTAATCCCAAGTGGACCGAAAAACTGTAAAATTTAAGACATAAAACAAATAGGCATTAAAAACTGACATTTATTTAGGTCTTAAAGATGAACGGGTTTTCAATATTAGTGCCTCTGGTAAATGTCTCACCTCAACTGAAGGCATGAAGCAAGGTCTTTGTTCAGAAGTCCTGTGGGAAACCAAATCCTACGGCATAGGACCAGTGCACCATTCCCTGCCTGCAGTGATGGATGACTTTTTTGGGTATCTCTTGACAGCTATGCAGCAGAGTTTTTTGGAAAGCATTGTTTTAAAGCAGTCTGACCCATCTCTTTCCTGGTAAATGCACAGTATCTTCAAATCCCCTCTAAATCTAAATTAAACATTGTCTAAATCTAGAATTAAGCATTGGTATAAACATTTAAATTCGAGGAGATAATAATGAAGAGGGCTTAAATCTCTTTGGTAGCTGATGTTGTGGTGGTACAGTTAAGAGATTATTCTAAATTCCAGATAGCTGGATTTGGACATAAGTTTTACCAGCTCCTTATGGCAGAGAGATATGTCCTAGGCAATGCTTTGGCATTTGCTTATTCCTCATTGGGAGCAAATGGGCCTCCTTTTCTTGGGTGTGGCTTGAAGTGGAAGAGACTAAAGCCTTCCCCTCCAAAATGCCATAGTATCTATTAGTCTTGTTTTTTAAGAGCCAGTTAGACCTTTTTTTAGTTTTATTTATCTGCTTTGCAAACATAGCCTCAGGACAAATGCCCTAGTTTCCTTGTCAATTTAGGTCATTTTGTTGGTCTGAAGAGGTTTGGGTGAAGGGGACCAGCTGTCCTGTGTCTTGTCTTTGTGAGTGTGGATCTGGGAGGCTGATATTAAAAGAGAGTATTTACAAGTGAATGGTTCCTAGGTAAATGGTTCATGATTTGATATCTACATTAATTATAGCATAATAACAATCACTGCTATAAAAGATAATGAAATTTTAGCCACTTTAGCCACAAGATAGTGGTTTCTTTCTTGTTCACTTAAAATTCAAATAGATTTTCCCCCATAGGTGATTCTCTTAAAGCAGTGATTTAGAGATGCAAGCATCGTATTCCATCTTGTGGCTCCATTGTCTTCATCATATGCTCTGGTGTTGCTGGCTTGGGGAAGGAGCTTGGAAGATGTGCATGAGTACTTTTCCTGTGGCCTGGACCTAAAAATAGTCCATGTGTTTTCTGTTCCTATTTTATTGGCTAAAACTCACTTAAATGGCCATACCTAACTGTAAGGAAGGCTGGAAATACAACTTTGGGCCTAGGAAGAAAGGAGGAAAAGAGCAAGAGTTTGGAAATTACATTTTCAGGCTATGTATCTGTGATATCATGTATCTGTGACATCATGTATCTGTGACATAGCCTGAATGTCACTTCCAAACTCTTGCTCTTTTTCTCCTTTCTTCCTATCTCTGTGATATAGCCTGTTCTCCAAATGGAGAACAATAAAAAGTCAAAGACAGTAGTGAAATATATAGGGTTGGGAGACAAGAAGATGCAGGTCTTGAATTCTAAGTGACACAAACGAGGGGCATGTGGTAATTCTCTGAGCTGGAGCTAATTATTGCAGGAGGCCTTTAATGGACCCTCTATTCTAATTATGGGTGTGGGATCTGAACAGTTAAATCAGCTGATAGTAAATAGAAAGGTATTTTTTTTTACCTTTTAATCCATTAGTAGACAAAAAAATACAAGCGATGATGAATCTTCTTTACTTATATAGAATTATTTTGCTCTTTGTCCCCAACATTAAAGTTGGAATATTTACTTTTATCATAATTTTAGATTCTTAGGTTAGGTACAGATTATTTTATAGACCATGAATGTGACAGAAATGATTTTAAAATTATGAGGTCTGTGTATTAGAAGAAACCAATAATTTTTACCCAATAAAAACTACTTCCAAATACTTATTAGAAATGTGAAAATAATAATCATCAACATGTATATAATATTCTATAATTTGTATACCGCAACATTTTCATTTGTACAGATATTTTATTTGAGAAGTGTTTAAATGGTTGTCCTGGGACTTTAGAGATAGGAATTCATAGAAATAATTACTTATATAATTATGTAAGTCCTGTATCTGTTTATAAATTACACTTTCTTATCCAAAAGTTACGTGATCAGAGAATTGATGTGTTTCCTGGTGTTTTTCTCCCCCTTCTTTCTAGGAGAAAAGTTGAGATTATGCATACCCACAGTCTTTTCACTCTTCTTGGGGAAAGGCTGATGTTGCATACAAACACCGTGACTGTCACTACCTACAACACTCTCTATGAGGTAAAAATGAAAAATCTGCTATGAAAATTCCAGTGTATGTGGTGGAAACCATCTTTATCTATGTAATCAAGATCACTAGTTGGTCACTTCTTAATTTAAGAAGACAGTTAAAGCCAGAATCATTTTCTTTTTAATTTAAAAATGACTACATGCCTTATATCTTTTATTTTATTTTATTTTAAAACATATCCATATACAATTACTTGCCAATCTTCTTATGTTAGTCCAAGAGCTGTTCTTAGAGTATGGGTTGGCTGACTGGCTTCATACACAGTCTTTCTCACATAAACGAGGCCCATTATGCGATATGTATTAGTTCTATATTCCTTCCTCACCCCCACATCCTTCTCTCACTCTCCTTCTTTATCCCTGTCTCTGTCTTTCTGTTTCTAGTACCTACCAGCTATAAACATAAATGAAAGAGTTGATAATGATATAAAATGTAGGTAAGAATTATTTGTAAAAGTGGTATCTGGAAGAACCTTTCTATCTCATGATTTCAATATATAAGTTTCTTCCTCATCACTTCTAGAAAATGGGTTCTGCATTTTCTAGGAAGTGCATATACTGACTCACAAGGTAGCAATTTTATTTTTCAAATGCAAATAAAATGTTAGGAATATTTCTTTAAAATAACCTTAATTCTACTTTCTTAGAACTGATCTCAGTGACCTTAGTTCTTTTCTATAGTATAATGGTTGACAAACTACCAATATTCATTTTTCTATATGCTTGTGAGCTAAGGATTGTTTTATATTTGTAAATGATGAAAAGAATCAAAAATAGTACATGACATGGAAAATTTAAATGACTTTTAAATTTCAGTGTTCGTGGTTTATTGGAATAGAGCCATATTCATTTTGTTAAGGTATTGCCTATGGCTACTTTTGTGTCACAACCACAGATCCACAGATAGTTGCAACAAGAATGTTCATGTTCTAATCACTTTGCATTGTTGCTTGGCACATTGGGAATCACAGTGATGCAATAACTCACCAGTGTTTCACATACCAGGTATATTGCTGAACATAACTGGAAAAAAAAATACTAGTGCATACCTGTCACACTAAATCAGAAAGAAAAGTAGATTTCTAATCCCACTCTTTAAATATGGTGGAGTATAGATTATTGGGTTTTTTTTTGAAAATAGATTTAGATTGCAGTGTTTGTGTCTGTTATCTAAGGCCATTATAGCCATGCTAAAAGAATACTCGTAGATATTACTAAACATGCATAACAATATTCCTAACTCAGAAAAGCAGTCTGGAAATATAAAATCTTATCATTACAGATTTCTTCAAAACCTTTTAAACATGAAAATGAGAGACTTTGAGGACGTCACGTACTGAGATTCTGAATGGAAATTTATTACAGTTTTAAATTAATATGGGACAAATTCAAACTTGTGTTAAGACTGCCTCGAGTTCATGTAATCACAGGCCACATCAGCCCAATCGCAGATTTTGCACAGCCCTCAAATGGAATAGTATTTACATTTTTGAATGATGGGGTAGGGGGAGAAAGGAATATTTACGTGATGTGAATTTTAAATTTCATTATCTGTAAATATTATGGTTTTATTGAAACATAGCTATATTTATTCATTTGGTCCACAGGTGAATCACACTAGAATGACAAACAGAATGGAGTAGTTGTAATAGAAACTTTGTGAAGCACAAATCCCAAAACATTTACTGTATGCTTTTTTTAGATAAAAACTTACTCTCCAGCAACTCAGAGAAATGTAACTCCTCTCTGTTGCTCTTTTATTAAATCTGTATTTTAATCTGATATCCGAATTAATATGCATTCATTATGAAAATTTGGAAAATATAGAAAAGCACCAAAATAAATTTTACCCATTTGAGTCTCCATTAATACTTAATACTGGCTGGATATAAAGTTTGTGTGTAATTTAAAATAGTTTAACATAGTCAATTGCACACGAACTTTATGTCCACCCTGTATAAAAGTATATGTAAGTTTTTCTCAACTTGCACTCATAACTCTTATAAAATATTCTACACATAATTTTGTGTCCTGCTTTTTGCATTAACATTATATTACAAATATATTTATTGCAAAATATTCATCTATAGCTTGGGAGGGCAAACTTTTCTGATAAAGAGTCAGATAGTAAATGTTTTAGGTATTATAGGTTATATCAGCAGTACTCAACCTGTGGGTTGCAACCCCTTTGGGGGTCAAATGACCCTTTCACAGGGGTCGCCTAAACATATCCTTCATATCAGATATTTACAGTTCATAACAGTAGCAAAATTACAGTCATGAAGTAGCAACAAAAATAATTTTATGGTTGGGGGGTCACCACAATATGAGGAACTATATTAAAGGGTCATGGCATTAGGAAGGTTGAGAACCACTGGGTTATATGGTGTCTGTCACAATTACTCAGCTCTATAATTGCAACCCAGAAGTAGCTGTAGATAGTATGAACGAAATGGGCTGTGTTCCGGTAAAACTATATTACACAAACAGGTGGCAGGCCAGATTTGGCCCACAGATCAGTTTGGTTTATAATACTACTTTTAACTATTTTATTTTATTTTTCTGTTTTATATTCTTGTCACTAAATTTTAAGACTGACTGCTCTTTTGGTAAAGGAAGAAACCTTTCGGATACTCTGAATTTTTTCATTTCTAAGCTTATATTACTACTTTGTATCAGTGCTTCATCAAATCACAAGGTTTATAGACTCTCCTCTCCATAGGCAGTGCCTTTTTAAATTAGAGTAGTTTTTAATATTACTTTAATTTTTGGCATATAGAACCAAATAAGCCCTAATAGGCCTATTCTGTGCAGAGTATGGTGATGTCATTACCTTTCTTGATTCTGATACTGTTTCCTAATGATAGTAACTCCCTGTTATTGGGTGCTACTTCACGTGACAGTTATATTTTTTGTATGTATCAGATAGCACAACTTGCCGTATGATGCGGATATTTTTATTGCCTTTTAAAACAGACAAACTGAGACTCACATGTCAAATAATTTGCTCTATGTCATGCCACTAATGAATGGTCATAAAATAGGCAGTTTCCATAATAAATGTGCATAAGACAAAAAAATGTCAGACTATGAATCCCTTCAGTTGATGCAGTAAATCCTCCCTGAATCAAAACCTTGCTAAAACTGTCAGGAATCCTTCAGCATCTTAGTGTGTGATACTGGTGAACTTGTGCTTATGTCTTTCTTTTTTTTTTTTTTTTAACTTCCTAATGGCTTTGGTCAATTAAGTATAAGTATTTTAATAATTATTTTACCTATGTGAATTTCTGAACCTCTGCTTATTTTAACCCATTATTTGACAATAGAGTAGAAAAGTCTGTAAAGTCAGTGAAACTTTATATTACAATAAACGCATAGAATAGATAGGATGATATGCTAAATTTGAGAAAAGATTGTGTACGCCTAGCCTTAAAGTGAGGAAACGTCATGTGCATGTACTACATATGTACATGTGTGTCTTTCTGCTGGCCTTCCTCAGGTGAGTCAACAAAAAGTGCAGCTGTACTCTCACATGCGACATGCACTCGTCTGGGTACGCCCAGGATCCAGATTTGGGTGTCTGTTGACATTCTACAGGAGACAAAGCCAAGTTGTTGCTGACTCTACATCTTAGAGTAGATGAAAAGTCAGAATAAGCTTATATCCTTAATGATGAAGGAGTGTACCAACTTAGAGTTTCTGTTTGACCAATTTGGTAATAATACGTTTTTAAAATAAAATAGTAATCACAGCTAATTGCAATGAATTTTGAATGACCCAGAGTTTATAAAGAACTCATATTCTAATAAGAAAAGTTAAATGTAGGTATACACAAAGTCAAATAAAGAAAGATGGTTGGTCAGCATTGTTGATCCCACAAAATAGTGGAAAGGGTCTTCAGCATAAGCTTTAATACTGCTGGAACACCAAATTGTATTAGCGGGATGGTAGACAGTGGATTGCATTGTCACCGAAGTTTAAAGATTGCATCATTTTGGTGGGCAGCATCTAATTGCAAAAAAATAAAAATTCTTGTGGTTAGATATCCACTTAAATGTTCATTAATGTAGTAAGCGGAAAAAAAAAGAGTAAGTGAAATTTAGCTTTAAAAGACAAATAGCTTCAATACCTGCTGCTTACATTGAATTCACCTGGTGAACATCAACCAGGCCTCCTGCATCTCAGCAAGGTCAGGTGGCTGATTGTTCAGAATTGGTCACCTTTTCTTTCTTTCTTTCTCTCTCTCTCTTTTTTTTTTTTTTGCAGTTTTTGGCTGGGGCTGGGTTTGAACCCCCCACCTCCGGCATATGGGGCTGGCGCCCTACTCCTTTGAGCCACAGGTGCCTCCTGTGGACACCTTTTCTTAATCTTCATTTTTTTTCTAGGTTTGGGGAAGTTGTCTTAACCCCAGTAATGTATCAAGATAAGTATCTCTACAACTCTAAGAAGGCATAAATCAATGCTAGAAATAACCAACCATGTCAGATCTCCGGTGCTGCTAATGATATGTTAAAACAGAATAGAATAACTGTTTACTTTGTTTATTTCAGCTGTTTACATTAGCTGTTAACTTTGTTTCTGTAAGAGTATAACAGTTTTTGATCATATGTTATTTTATAAGTTAGTCAATTTTAAATTTAAGTACTTCATAAACTTTCCAATTTAAATTATAGAGGTAGGCAGTATATGAGATAGCAGCTTACTCAACCTTTCTTTTTCTGTATAGAGCAACTAACAGTAAAAGTTAGTTTGTCCAAACCTGTAAAGATTCTCTGACTGAAATGCTTCAAGAGGTGCTTAGCGGTAATGGTGGCGTCCGTAGTTTGCTCCTTTTACCACTCTTGTCTCAAAAAGTGGAGCCTTCTAATACTACAAAATGATTTATGAACAATGAAGCTTTGAAGTGAGTGGTTCAGAAGGAAAGTTGCAGTAACTCCTGCTTAAGCCAAGGGTCTTTGTAACATGTGAATTGTAAAATAATTCCATTCATAAAGGGAAGCTTCAGTGTGTATTGCTCAGGTCTGTGCACACACAGCATATTTATCAGGTTCCCTCCAGTGCTGCTTATTCATCATTATTTGCCCCCCTGTTTGATACCTGTATTAGACATTGGCACACATGGCTGTTGAACAGTCAGAGTGTGGCTGGTGTGAATGGAGGTGTGCTGTGCATGTTCAGTCCAAATTTGCTTTCATGTCCATGTCTGGCTCTGAACCTCCTTCCTATTTTGTTTTGGTGAAGGGCAGGGGTTACTTTATTGGCATGTCTCTTAACCAACAAAGCTACAGTGCCCATGAGGAATCAAGTTCTTTTTTATTTTTTATTTTTTTGAGATAAGAGTCTCACTTTGTCGCCCTTGGGAGAGTACGGTGGCGTCACAGCTCACAGCAACCTCAAACTCTTGGGTTTAAGTGATTCTTTTGCCCCAGCCTCCCAGGTAGCTGGGACTACAGGCGCCCGTAACAATGCCTGGTTATTTTTTTTGTTACTGTTGTCATTGTTGTTTAGCAGGCCTGGGCTGAGTTTGAACCCACCAGCCCAGGTGCATGTGGCTGGTGCCCTAAGCCACTGAGCTATGGGCACCAAGCCAGGAATCAAGTTCTTTTGTTAAAATGTCTATATCTACCTTTGTTTTTCCTTACTTATGTCTCATTATTTCCCTCCCCCCACTTTTAAGCTCACATAGGCTTTTAATGACAGTTTACCATGTTTTATTACTTGATAGGGGCATACATTTATGCCTGTCTCCAGAATGATAAGTGAATTACTGCTAGAAATATAGTTACACCTAGCAAATTATTTTCCATCTCTGAGCATTTAGCAGAGTGTGGGCATATTACTGGTTCTTAATAAATACATGTTGAATTGAGTTTCTAAATATATATTTGTAATTTTTTTAAAAAGTTCTTATATTTGAATATGTTGTAGTTTTCAAAGCACTTTTCACATATACAACCTTATTTAATTTTCCTGGCAGATTTATTAGATAGTAAAGGCAATTATTCCCCTCATTGTTAAATGATAAAATAAGAACTTAAAAAGACAACAGTGTAAAAACTGGTGATGCCTTTGTTTCCTGTCTAGTGCAGTTTCTTCTCTTTCAGTGGAGAAAGTTTTGACTTTTTGACATCTCTGTTAAGAATATGTCCTGTTTTTCTTCACGCCTGTCTGAAGTTATTTTGACTCCCTTATTTGTAACAAGAATTTTGTTGGATCTTGTAGGTACACAACAAGGGTCATAGATTGATATGAAAACTCCTTGTCAGCATATCAGCATATCCCAACCACTAATTGATTGTGGTTTAATATATGGTTTTCAAAGACATTTACCTCCTGTATCAGTTCTATTTGTTTAGGAGTGAATGTCAAGAGTGCTCTGTTCAGAAAATTCTGAGGGCTATTTAGTTTTAACCACAAAGTGTGTAGTCGTAACAGAGATCAGGGAACCAGGATGATGGGAGTAATTTTGCCTCGTATTTATCATTTGAGTAATAGGTCAGCTTTTATTTCAAGTCAGTGCCATTTGATGGACATTCCTAATATACCTATGTAAATTTCCTATATTTTCTTAGCTGAAAAGAAAAAAAAAATGACACTTCTGGATATCGGGTGATTTTCTAATTAGAAGGGACCCTCCCTGTTTTTAATATACTTTCTCTCTCCTTAGCTCTTACAACAGGACTCTGTGCGATTGGCTTTTTGGCTAACGTTTATGATTTAGCTATAGTTTTTGTACTGACTTAGGTTGAACCATTTATTCAGAATTTAACATGTTAAAACTAAACAGGAATTAAATCACTAATATAAAATTATGTCTTTATTAAAGATAGTCTTATTAGGTTTATATATACAGGCAATCCCCAGGTTATGAACAAGATAGCTTGTGTAGTTTTCTTTGTTCTGAAGTTGAATTTGGATGTAAGTTGAAGCAGGTACATTTGCCTCTTACCTGTACTACCCACCATTCATAAGTGCGAGTCATACGTCAGTTGAGTGTTTGCAACTCAGGGACTTACTGTAATAGCCTCTGTTTATAAGTTATACATAAGTTGGATGTCGGCTCATGTAAAAGTATGGATATACACAGGCTAAGGCCTAAAACACAGTGAATAGTCTGAAGTACATTCATCCTTCCTTCCGTTTCACAAATACTCATCCCGTGCTGGGAGTGCAGCAGACACCAGTGCTTATCACTGGGGATGGCAGAGTGGCAGAAGGCTGCAGAATCCCACAGTTGTACACCCTACAGTTCAGTGGAAAAGTTAATAAATGTTTTAGAATTCTGTCTTTCCTTTATTTGGTCAACTGTTGTCATTTTTGTTATTTGAAATAAATTTTAAAAATACACTCATCAGTAAATGCCAATAGCCACATTGTTAGGAGACCTTTCCTTCATCATGCTTCATTTTGAAGTAGAAACCCCATCTCAGACATTATTTTCTTATTTACTTATTTTATATTATTTTAATTGATGATACAGGGAATCAACCCTTACAATTCTCCCAACATTGGTAAGTTAACGATGTATACTGAAAAAGTATTGCAAACAGAATAAACCAATGGATTTGCTAATTAATCTTTCCTTCCATGAATATTTGTTCTGCTTTTGTCTGTATCCATAATAAATAAAATTTGAGGAATACAGAGTTAAAGAATTTATATATACATGGATTCATTAGAAAATGTCTGGATATTTCTTTTGATTTGACTCTAATTCACATTTTTTTCAGTTTCTTTGTGTATCTATGTTTCATAATTATGAGTTAAATCATTTTCTAAATGAACTGAAAATTCTTCATCTTTCAGATCTTGACAGAGCAAGTGTGTACTCAAGTTGTACACAAACCACATCCAGAGCCAGATTCTACAGTGAAAATTCAGAATCCAAGTGAGCAAATGGCATTTCTTTATTATAATGCAGACGTAGGAGGCTGATTAAAAACTTTCCTTACCTTGTAAAACATTGTAGTATTTACTTAGTTCACAGCACTATAATAGTGCCAAGTAGTTGTTTGAAAACTTGTAAATTCTAGCTACTCGAGAGGCTGAGGGAAGAGAATTGCCTGAGCCCAGGAGTTGCAGGTTGCTGTGAGCTGTAATGCCACGGCACTCTACCCAGGGTGACAGAGTGAGACTGTCTCTACAAAAAAACAAACAAACAAACAAAAAAACTTGTAAATTGTTTTTGAGTTGAAAATATGACATAGTTATAAATCCTCAAGTTTTTTTTTTTTTAACCAGTGATTCTTAAGGTGGTGGCAACTTTATTAAAAAACTCTACACCAAGTGCAGAACTGATGGAAGTTCGTCGCTTATTTTTATCTGACATGATAAAACTTTTTAGTAACAGCCGGGAAAATAGAAGGTAAGCTATTTGAATACTGTAAGTAATCTTCATTCTATAATTCATCTTTGTTTCTCCTTAATTTTCAATGCCTTTCAAGTAAAAGAAAGTCAACTATTTCTAATATTGCTAAATACTTTAAATCATTAGAAAAGGTATCATATGTTTCTTTGATTAAAATTTATATTCAATATAATTCTACTTATTTTTATATGATTTGATTTAATTACATGGATATTATAATTATAGATGTATACATAAAACCTTAAAATGTATGGTTCCTTTTGGGAGTACCTGTCACCAACAGTACTTTTAGTTGTAATTGTGTTATATCTGCCCATACTCATCTATGCTTTTCCTCCAAGGTAGTCTTAGGACTTAACTGTTGTCATGCATTTCTGAGCTGGTTAGCTGGGTCATAGGGACGCAGACTGTGAGTTCCCTGGCAGTCACTGCCTCAGTCTTTATTTAACACAGGCTGTCTGTTGTGTATAAAGCACTGTGCTGCACAGGGAGTCTCAGCGCACAGTCTCAGTACCGTCGAGTGGGAAAGACAACCACAGGCAGTGATTCATCTGTAGTGTATTCAGTGCATGGTAAGTGTCAGCACTGAAAAGAAAGTAGAGAAACAGTAAACATGACTGGGTAAGTTAGGAAAGTGAGTTTGAATGATCATTAGAACTTTTCCAAGTAAAGAAATGTGGGCAGTCATTCCTGGTATCAAACACAGAATATGCAGAATGTCCTTGTGCTTTGCTTTACCTAGGTCAGATCATCTTTTCATTTTTTTCCCTAAATTTCAAATTAGCAAGTTCTAATTTAATTTAGGCATTACTGATGATATCTTTTTCTCCTCTAGATGTTTATTGCAGTGTTCCGTGTGGCAGGACTGGATGTTTTCTCTTGGCTATATTAACCCTAAAAACTCTGAGGAACAGAAGATTACTGAGATGGTCTACAATATCTTTCGGATTCTTTTGTATCATGCAATAAAATATGAATGGGGAGGCTGGAGAGTCTGGGTGGATACACTCTCAATAGCTCATTCTAAGGTAACCAGGGACTTAATATTTTTTTTCATCAGTGGATTAAATGGCTATAAACACTCATCTGGTGCCATCTTGTGGGCATCTTAGATTTTGGCAGAGTCTTTTATCTCTATTCTCTTTTCTGTTTTTCCTCCCTTGGTTCATAGGTGATTAGAGCTTGAAAGTATGTTTTAGATCATTTAATTCCTAATTCTAATTAGGAATTTTACCCCCAAAGGTGTACCACTTCTATTTCATAGCAGATCTGAGAACTTGACTCTGGGCCAATTGCGCTTTTAACAAAGAATAATATTTCATGAAACTGTTTTTAAAGTGTATTTTAAAGACATTTTTAGAGTTGTCTGAATGTTTACATTTCCCAGTGAGTTATAAATGCATTTAAGGTGCTTAGGTTTAGAGATAATTCTGATTGCATTATCTTTTATTTTAAATCTTAAGACTGTATGTCTGTACTTTAAATATTTGCTCTTTGGTAAAGTGAAGTAGTGATTTAAGGCATAGAAGTATATGCTACTAGATTCTGTAAATTCAGAGGTGTGAGTTGTCATCAAGTAGTGTTAGAGAAGAAGCCTGGGTGTCAGAAGTTTGGCTTTCAATCCAGTCTGGGCAATAATTGAGTTTTGTGATTTTAGGAGATCATTTAATCCCTTTGAACAGGGGTTAAATTTTTTTTTTCAAGGGGATAGATAGTAAAATATTATAGGCTGTGTGGGCTGTCTCCAGTTGTTGTGGTACAACAGCTCAACTCTGTTGTGCGATGTGAAAGCATCCATAGAAATATGCAAGAAAATGAACATGGCTTTGTTCCCATAAAACTTTAGTTACTAAAACTGATCATTAGATTTGGCCCCTGGGTGATAGATTGCCGACTTCCACTGTTGACACTTGCTTTCTCTTTCTGTAAAATCATGATCATCTTTAAAGGAAAGTCTCTCTCAAGTTAAAACTTTGTTTCTCTATCCTTTAAATTCAAATTAATGTCACCTGTGTCTATCAGAAAGGGTTTCAGATTTTTAAAGAGCTTTTATTTCTGTAATGGCTTCACATTTTCTCACATATTAACAGCTCACATTTAGCATTGCTTTAAAAAATTTGAAAATAGCAAAGAAAATAACATTGCAAATCTCTGTGTACAAAATATATTTCCTGATTATACCTAAACAAACATATAAAGTAACAAATTCATATGTAAAAATAAAACTGTGATTTTTTTAGCAGTTTATAAATTTATATATTTATAGATATGTTTGAATTTTTTTGTTACGGTAGATTCATGCATGAGCAATAGATGCTTAAATCTGTTGTAGTGATAGTACCTTGGAAATTGTATACAATTAGCTACCATTTCTCTGGGTAAGTGTAAATAAATGTATGGGAGTTGATCAGCATATTAGGGTAACACTGAAATACGTAACTTAGAAAACACTTGAATATTGCTAGCATACCTGTGTGATTTGGGGGCAAGTCTTATAATAAGTTATATATATGGCTACAATTGTTGATTATTACCAATTACTTAATTACATTAAGTACTTTTTTTTAGGATTAACACATACAAACTTGTAAAGCTTAAAATTTCTGGTACTGCTTTTGCGATTGCCATAATTTTATTTGTGTCATTATTTTTTGACATACACATACAGAATGCCTTAATGTTTGCTTTCCTTCCTCTTCAGGTCACTTATGAAGCACATAAGGAATACCTAGCTAAAATGTATGAAGAATATCAAAGACAAGAGGAGGAAAACATTAAAAAGGGAAAGAAAGGCAACGTAAGCACCATCTCTGGTCTTTCATCACAGACAACAGGAGCAAAAGGTGGACTGGAAATCCGAGAGATAGAAGATCTTTCCCAAAGCCAGAGTCCAGAAAGTGAGACAGACTATCCTGTCAGCACAGATACCCGTGACTTACTCATGTCAACAAAAGTGTCTGATGATATTCTCGGAAGTTCGGATAGACCGGGAAGTGGGGTACATGTGGAAGTGCATGACCTTTTAGTTGATATAAAAGCAGAGAAAGTGGAAGCAACAGAAGTAAAGCTTGACGATATGGATTTATCCCCGGAGACTTTAGTAGGAGGAGAGAACGGTGCCCTTGTGGAGGTTGAATCTTTGTTGGATAATGTATATAGTGCTGCTGTTGAGAAACTCCAGAACAACGTACATGGAAGTGTTGGTATTATTAAAAAAAATGAAGAAAAGGACAATGGTCCATTAATAACATTAGCAGATGAAAAAGAGGAACTTCCCAATAACAGTACATCATTTCTCTTTGATAAAATACCCAAACAGGATGAGAAACTCCTCCCTGAACTTTCAAGCAATCACATTATTCCAAATATTCAGGACACACAAGTACATCTTGGTGTTAGTGATGATCTTGGATTGCTTGCTCACATGACTGGTAGTGTAGACTTAACTTGTGCATCAAGTGTAATAGAAGAAAAAGAGTTCAAAATCCATACAACTTCAGATGGAATGAGTAGTATTTCTGAAAGAGATTTAGCATCATCGACTAAGGGGTTAGAGTACGCTGAAATGACTGCTACAACTCTGGAAACTGAGTCTTCAGGTAACAAAATTGTACCAAATATTGATGCAGGAAGTATAATTTCAGATACTGAGAGATCCGATGATGGCAAAGAATCAGGAAAAGAGATCCGAAAAATCCAGACAACTGCGACGACACAAGTAAGCTATCTTGTATAGGTTATACCAAGAAGATTCATTGGGTAGATACTGAATTGATAGCACCAACGCAGAGTAAATTTCTCATCAATTACATCATTTTTTTTTCAATCGTGTTATTGTAGTAATGTATGGAATTAGTAGTATGGTTGCATACATATAAGAAATTAGGAATATCTTAATTATATTTCCAACTCTGACACATTCTTTTGTCTAACTTTGCTTAACCTCTCTGGGCCTAAGTTTCCTTGCATAGTATAAGAGTTCATATTCTATTAAAATATGGTCTCTATAAAATATTAAAATATAAGGTTTCTACCAGTTCTAACCATTTATGACTCAAATAGTTCAGGTCTTCATTCTGAATATTTGATTAATTTTGACCTTTTAAGCTTCGGGCCTGGGCCTCTTGTTTCTATTATAGAAAAGAGGACTTGGAGCCCAGATTAAACTGATAAAGTGAAGGGGAAGGGAAGAGGCAACGATTATTTCTCAAGTGCCTATTATGTTCCAGGTACTGTGCTGTATATTTTTAGATTTAATCCTTAGAACAACTGTGTGAGGTAGGTAACTTGGCTAAGAAAAATTAAAATGATTAGAAGTGAGATTTTTTTTTTCAACCACATGGATAGAAATTTGTTATGAGAAAACTTAGGTCTGGTGATTGTGAAATGTTAGTGCTTCAGCTTTCGCCTCACCAGAGTAAAATTAAAAACAGGTAACATTTTCTAATATGGATTTTAATTGGTGAGATTTAAGTTAGGACTTCTTCCTTCCTTATCTTCCAGACTAAACAATACTTTATGGTTGTGAGTTTAAGAAATTTTCATGATACTTTTACCCTTAATGATTTGGGTTTTGTTTTCGTCTGTGTTTCACTTGCCTTTTAATGTCATTGAAGATAAAGTCTTTTCATTATTTATAAAGAGTAAACCAAGCCTTACTTGTGTCTTTGTACTCAAATCAGAATCCTTAACAATATATTCTGTGTGGGAAAGGTAACTTTAGTTGTTCTCTACCTGCCAGTTTCCATTTCTGTGCCAGTTGCACTGTGGTGATAATTGCCAGGGGATGAGGATATTGAATTAGGTGCAGATGTTAAATAATGGAAAACATGTATTGTTTATTGGACAGTAAGCTTGCCTGTTGAACACACTAGGCTTGCCTGTTTTTCACTTGGAGTTCATTTTTTTTCTAATTTGTCACAGGCTTGAGGTATTATGAGTGAAAAAGACTTTGAAATTGACTTGAATCTGTTCAAGTAATATTTCTAATATGTTTTATTTACAGTTAGTTGATGGCATAAATCTAGTAAACTTCACTTCATATATACTTACTTCCTTAAACAAGTGAAGTGGTGTACTGGGAAGACCTCAGAAAAGGGTAAAGAGGGTCTAGTTTTCCATGTGAACTTTCGTGTTAACCATAGGTATTTGAATACCTTGACTAGTTTCAGCAACAGCAAAATAGAACCAACAATCTAGCCTTTTCAGCTCAAAAAGGTTTGTGTGCAAGAAATCACCACATGAATAATATATGTGAAACATATTAACCTACTAATGTTATATGCAGAAGCTTTACTCACTTTTTATGCTCACTGTTTCATTTTGAAATAAGGTATTTCTTTTGTATTCCACAAAAGTTCACCTTTTTTTTCTTTAGGCTGTTCAGGGTAGGTCAATTACCCAACAAGACCGAGATCTCCGAGTGGATTTAGGATTTCGAGGAATGCCAATGACCGAGGAGCAGCGGCGCCAGTTTAGCCCGGGTCCACGTACTACAATGTTTCGTATTCCTGAGTTTAAATGGTCTCCAATGCATCAACGGCTTCTCACTGATTTGCTATTTGCATTGGAAACAGATGTACATGTTTGGAGGAGGTAGAGATATTTCCTTTTTATGAATGGAAAGAAAAAATTAAAATCTGTCTGTTCTGTATAAAAAAGATAACAAAAAAGTTTGACATGTATGTTTTTAGAGGTTGAAGTATTTGAGCAGTTAGTGGATAGCAGTTCAAATATAAACACTGAAAGACAAATCTATGTAAATTAAACCATTACCTTTCTTAATTTTTGATTTAATTTTCGAATAGCATATACAAAAAAATCAATTATGAGACTATATCATCTGCGTGTGTATGTATGAGAGTTGATGGCTGTAAGTAACAGAATACCCGCCCTTAGCAGCTTCCGCAGTTAGTAGCATGCCAGTCTTAGGACTCAGCTGGCTTCTCTGCTTCTGCAGGTTCTCCTGTTAGGATTCAAGGAGGCTGCTTCAGCCCCCAGCATCAGTTCAGCAGAAGAAATTTGCCCAAACCAAAAGGCAGGATTACTCTTCTTCCTCCTCTTCCAATTTTCCTCTCCCTCTTATTCCTCTCTCTCCCCTTTCTGCTCTTTTGCCTTTTCTTCTTTTCTCTCTTTTTAAAGAGCCTCTCAAGAAATGTTCCTATTATGTCTCATGAGCCAGCAGGATTATATTATATGGACCAGGACTGATTACCTTGTAACTGAGGTGGGGCCAACCTTCTTATACCCAAGTCAGCTCAGTAACAGAGCAAAATCTAGATAGTGTTAGCAGAGAAGTCATGACTAATATTGTGTCAGTGGAGTCTGCTGTAGAAAGTTTTTTTTTTACTTTTGATTTTATTTAATCAGTTTGTTCTAGACTTACATGTTTTCATTGCTGTTGTTGTATGATACATTACCTAGAGATAGTAACTCAGGAAACTGAAATACTAGGTAATAATAATATATTACTATTAACTCAAAGATCAGAGTATGAAGATAAATAATCTTATTTACTAATTATAATTATAATAATTATTATAATATTATTAGCCCCAGGTGATAATCAGCTTTTCTTCCATCCACACGCTATGTCTTTTTGTTTTCTTTCTGGAGGTCTTAAGAAATTCCCCCAGATGGAATTTAATATAAATGAAATTTTCAAAGATAGCACTTTACTTGTAGGATAGGGAAGAATGTCTTGATATTCGAGATAAACACTAATAGTTTTTCCCAACTCTAAAAAGGTGAGAATCATTGATTCAAAATTGATCATGGAGTAATCTCTTTTTTCATTTTTCCCTTTAGAAAATATTTCATATTTTTGACTGACATCAGACTAAAGCAGATATATATGTATATAAATATATATATTTTAATATGTATTTGGGGGGCATCTACATTACATGTTTTATGTTGGAAAATCTCACTGCCAACGTACTATGAGATCTTTCTTTCCTTTTATTTAAATGATAAGTTCTTGAATTTTACTGAATTATTTATATTTCCCTACCATGTCCCTTTTGTGACTAGGAGGATGCATTTTGCATATGGGTAGTCAAAGGTGTGTCATAGGTGATATGACAAATTGAAACTGTGTAAAAATGAAGCTTTCAGTTAATTTTTCAAGGCTTTCATTTCAATTTTTTTTATTTATGAAATTTTGTGGTTATGTTTTGAGTTTCCATATTATCGTTAATATTAGGCGCATACTTTATATATTTAAAGGTTTTGCCTTTCAACACAAAACAGCCACTTTTGGCCAAAAAAATAATATATTTAGCCAAATTCATTGACCTAGCCATGTCTTAAAATCTACTATTATTAATACTGTATTTTTCAAGCAGAGATAAAGTAATTAGTTAATATAATTGGACATAAAAACCTTGCAGAGATGAGTACTTAGTTTTTGTAATATAATACTTCAGTTGTAAATTGTTATCCTTTCTAATAACTCCAATTTAAATTTTTCTAGCTCTTTTCGATATATTGTGAATATTTTTTACTTTAAAAATGTTATACTAAATAAAGCATGTAAACACTTGATTTGTAAGCAAAGTAACTATTCATTTGTTTTCCTTTATGTTATTTTAGCCATTCCACAAAGTCTGTAATGGATTTTGTCAATAGCAATGAAAATATTATTTTTGTACATAACACAATTCACCTCATTTCCCAAATGGTAGACAACATCATCATTGCTTGTGGAGGAATTTTGCCTTTGCTCTCTGCTGCTACATCACCAACTGTAAGTACTTTGCCTCCATCTAGTGGTTATACTTTATAATTACGTGACTTGAGCACTTAGTCAGCGATTCTCAATCTGTGGGTCACCACCCACAGGTACTGTATTAAAGGGTTGCGGCATTAGGAAGGTTGAGAACCACTTAAAGTGGTAGTCTGTACTTTAAGAAGTGAATTTTAACCAGACCTATTCTATTAACCAATTAAATTTATATATCCATCAGAATTATTCTGATAAATACTTGTAAAGAGCTGTAACTTTAAATGATTTCACTTTATTTTATTGCCTACCTCTTCAAAACTGTAATATTAAAAAACTGTTAAAATTATTGATATTTAACATTTTCATCTGACTATCTACTGGTTCAACATTTATTTTTTAAAAATCTAGCATTGGCTCTATTTGTTTCTTTATAAAAGATTGATATGTATTAAAATAATACATTTGAAAAACATCTAGTGGTAATTCTGTACTTCACTTAAAATACAGTAGAACATGTTAACTTTATATATTAGTTGTCATTTAAAAATATATTTGATTTGTACCAAAGTAGACTCCATAGCTACTCACTGAAATGTGAAAAAAATATAGAACTGTGCTTTCCATATTACCCATGTTCTTACTGCCATGTTGGAAACTCATCCTTAAATACAGAAAGTATACATCTGCCAGAGATAACACTGCCGTTTTATTAAGCTCTCTATTACTTGATGAGACAGCGTTTTCACATTGATCTCTGACTTTAACAAGCTTTCCTACATGACACTTTTTCTTATTATCCTTTTGTCAATGCCACTTACCTCCAGGGCAGCATGGAAGCTTCAGTATTAGCAGCAACATTTTGTATCCTCACACACACCTCCAGGCACATACACCCCTATTTTATCCATGAATTTACTCATGAGGCCACAAAGGCAGCCAGCCTAGTTTAGGAGGGGATGCATCAGAGAAGGTCATTCTTAGGGCTTTAATCAAATTAGCAGCTAACTCAAGGAAATGGGGCCAGGAAGAGGAGTATAGATAGTTGATGGTGTATAAAGAGAGCAGGTATCAAGAGTTTCACATTCCATTCCTTCTCTTTAACCTCTAGTTTCCTCTTGTGATTTGTACCAAATTCTGGTATATGTGTGATTTTAAAAATACATTCTGTAGCCAGACGTTGTGGTGGGCCTCTGTAGTTCCAGCTATTTGGGAGGCTGAGGCAAGAGAATCACTTAAGCCCAGGATTTTGAGGTTGCTGTGAGCTATGACGCCATGGCACTCTACTGAGGATGACAAAGTGAGACTTATGTCTCAAAAAAAAAAATTCTAATATTGAGACATGGAGAACATTATTAAAATTTTATACATCAAAGACTAAATCCTTTGGCATTTTTTTTTCATATAAATTTTGGTTTATGTCTTATGAATTAGCATTTATTATCATATATATTAAATTAACTTTGAAATGTAATATTACATGTCTTAAAATATTGTGTAAAACAAAAACTGATCTTTATATATACAGTTTAACACTCGGTTATTAAAATTTGCATAGGTTTGAAACATTCACATGACTAGTCTTCTAAATTTTAAAGCCAAAGATTCTTAACTATCAAAATAGAGAAAATACTAAATTAATGAAGTAATTTTTAATTATGATTTTTTTTTTTTCTGATACAGAGTTTCACTTTGTCACCCTTGGTAGAGTGCCGTGGCATCAGAGCTCACAGCAACCTCAACTCTTGGGCTTAAGTGATTCATCTCAGCCTCCCAAGTAGCTGGGACTATAGGCACCCACCACAATACCCCACTACTTTTAGAGATGAGGTCTCTCTCTTACTCAGGCTGGTCTGGAACCTGTGAGCTCAGGCAACTTACTGGCCTCGGCCTCGCAGAGTGCTGGGATTACAGGTGTGAGCCACCATGCCTGGCCCTAAACATTATGGTTATATACTCACCACCCAAATTTATAATGAATTTACAATAAAGATACTGACATTTTGAGGTTGGACTCCCAGAATTATTACCCAAGCAGTTTCTTCCACTATAGATTGGAATTTGAAATTGCTTACTGCTTCCATTGTTCTCAGTGGACTCAGGAATTCATTCAATTGTGGAAACGTTTATTTATTTCTCTGTTTCCATATTTCTGTTATTTTGGTCCATTAACTGATTGTACCTATGCCTGGTTATACAGTGTACCTGATTTTATGTTCTTTGAATGAACTGATTTCTACAAAGAAACATCCAGAACCATTCTCCCCCTTCGTATCTGGTAGAACCAAGATTGGTGCTGACCACTGGGTGTTGTTTTTGTGTTATTGAATTGTATAGTACTCGTGATATAAGTTGAAGTGTAGTAGAGGGAAAAGTTAGGAAAGAAGTAGGAATTTGAGTAAAACAGGAAATTAGAACTAAAAATATGGCTTTTTAAACATATATTTAAAATGTTAAAAGCCAGAAGAGAACTTTAGAAGAGATAAATGTGAAAGGAAGCATTGGCAACTTACAGATTACCGAAGGGAAACATTGTCTTGTAGATACCATTGGATTTTCAATGCTTGAAACCTTTGAAACTAATATTTGGGTGATCCTATAATTTTGTTTAGATATATAGAGTTTTAAAAATACTCATATATTAATATGCAGGTATATAGTTTTTGAATAAATAGAAGTGATGATGATTTGTGGCAGTAGTTGGCAAACTTTTTCTGTGTGAGGCCAGATGGTAGATATTTTAGGTTTTATACGCTGTATGGTATTTGTCCCCGTTGTTTAACTCTGTGGTGGCAGCACAGAAGCAGCCATAGACAATATAGCGGAACCTCTGTAAGTTGACCACCCAAGGGTCTGTAACAAATGGGTCAACATAGGGAGGTGGTTGGCTTTAGGAACTTCCACTCAACTAGTGAGAGGAGAACTAGGCTTGCTGTCCTGATAGGTACATGTAGTTTACTTACACAACTTTTATTAGAGACTACTGTACAAAATCATGCATAATCAAGACATAAAATCATACATACAGTATCATACAAAATCAGTACATTTATTATTTTCACATGGTTTACTCCCTCTTTCTGAAAAAAAGAGTCAATCTTGGTCTGTTTCTTACTCTTACTACAAACTTTAAATGGAGAAAGCACTCTCAGTGCTAGGTACCCACTCAGCCTACTTCAGCGTTTTTTAACAGCTCGTTACCTCAACTGTATTATCAAATAACTGACTTCCTCTTCTTTTGGAGTCTCTATAATTTCTGTATCATCAGTTCCTTCTTCCACTTCATCAGCTACTTCATGCACTTTTATACTCGTCTGTATTTTGGTGAATGTTGCCTGGACAATTGCTTCTGGGTCAGGTTCGTTACATGTTGCCACCTCATCATCCATTGCAACAAAACCTTCAAAATCTACTCCTTTGAATTCTGCTGTGGGAAATGAACTATCTGATGAGGCCAAAACTTTGTGCTCTTGGGTTGTGACAAATCCAACTTTCATGAAACACTTCTATACTGTTTCTGGTTGAACTTTCTTTCAAGCAGAACTGATCCAGAGGACAGCATCCTGAGTGTTAACTTACACAGTGGAAGAAATTGCTTCTATAGGCAGGCCACATTACTGAAACACAAACCTGTGTCTTAGTAAGGACCCACTGCAGGAGCTAGGGTCAGCAGTACATTTTCAATGTTTTGATGATGCCTTAGACAAGAGGTTGTATTTTTTAGGTTGTATTTGGAGGCAGAAATTTCAGCGTTGTATTTGCGATGATTCACTTTGTGTGTGGTCAGCACACTTGTCTACTGTCAGTAGAATAGACCATTTCTTCTTTTTTCAGGTGATACCCCTTGCCTATTCCTCAAATAGGTCATCAGTCATCCATGCTGATTTGTTTGATCTCCAGGTGATGGGGAGGTCTTCAGGACACAGGTTCTTGAATATGTATGGCATTGCCAATTTACAAATCCCCAAGGGACTTAGTTTCTCTCTGCTTGAGCTAGTGGGAAGCAGAACTGTGACAGGTTCTTTGCAAAGTTTTCCACTCTTATCTCTGTCACCCCTCATGAGGAGGCTCCTGTTAGGGATCACCTTGAACAAGAGTCTACACTTGTCAGTAATTAAGATGTCATCTTTGAATCCTCGTGTGAAGTGGGGGAACTTTTTCATGAACTCTTTACAATTTCCTCTGGAACTTTAATAGATTAACCACACAAGAATTTCTAGATCTCCTCTCACTGAGTGTTAAGTTTCTAAAGCCCACTACATGAGGCTTGGGAATCTGCCATCCTGAATTCTTGTGGGAATTGTTTTGCAAATTCATGGCTCCTCAGGCTGGTGATTTGGTTGTTAACTGCCCTCATTTGTTTGAAACAGCTTCATGTGGCTTCCTTGCCTTCATGAAGGGAAGCTTTCCTTCTTTTCTGTTTGCCTTACTATCTCTCTCCAGATATTCATGTTACCTTTTTAGAAGTTGCTCACTGTGGTCTCGCTAACACCAAAATATTCTGCCATCTTTCTTTGACTGCTGCTTCCCAGATAATGTAGAAGATCAACCTCTTCAGTGTCATCCCTTTGAGTGCTTTTCTTTGGGCCCTTATGTCTTGATTAGCTATAAAATTGTTCGGTAGTTGTAGGGTCTACCTATAATTCAGACCAGTCGTTCATGTTGAAAAAATCTTCTGCAACACGTGATAAACAGTAAGATTTTAGTCCTAATCCAATATGCGGTAATAATAAAACATGAAAAAAGAACTTATACTAAAGAAAAAATATAATAAAATTAAGGGGCAAAGCCCCCGTCTTCTACCCTTTGGTGTACAGTAGACTGAACTGGACAGGTTATAGAAGGTAAATTAATATTGTGTGTCATAGTCCAAGTGGTCAAGATACAACTTACAGAGGTGGTCAATACATAGAGGTTAGTCTTGCATTGAGTATATGTGGTGTATGGCTGGTCTGTGAATATTAAGTTAATGTAAGTAGGTGGTCACTGTAGGGAGGTGGTCACCTATGGAGGTTCTACTGTAC